ACGATGATCATCACACTCTATCCTATCAGCAATCGATGGCGAATCTGGGCGCCTCGGGGCCGACTTCTTTTTGGGTGAAGAGACCCGTGATATAGACATGCCATGCCGTACCAATGTGATTCATAAACGGTAAAGGGGGTGATTACCCCCTGGGGCAAACCCAGCCTTATCTCCAGCGCGCGTTTAGGCGGTAGGGATGACAGTGAAATCCACTTAGCCAGCCCTACTAGGTAGGCATCTGATCCTGATGATCAGCGGGCCTTTACAAAAATTGCGATGACTTCCCACCGGCTTCTGGCGCGCTTGACTCGCGAACAGAGCATGACCCCAGGATATCATGACCAATTACCGCGCCTTTGGATGGTATAAAATGAAGAGTTAATGCATTTGAATTAGGGCTGAACCCATCTGCGCCTCAGTGCTATTCGCTCGGCGCAACCGTTCGAACCGCGTGGCAATAGCTGCCAGCGGGTGGGGAGAGAATCCTTCGTGTATCCACTCACGGGCAAGCTTATGTGACATCGTGTGTTGCGAGAAGGCCATATTTTCAAGCTTTTTGACTTCTCGATACTACCGCCTCGAGGCATAGTGCTTTTGTGAACTAGACTTAGACTTACTGCCGGTCATACGTAAGCAGTGCAGCTTTCCTCTTTAGACATCGGTGATACCTTGGTACGTAGACAGTAGATGCCGCTTTAAAATGACTATCTCAGAGACTTGGGTAGGATGGCGGTTTTGGTTTAGCAATTTGTATAGATTTAAATTTGAAACTTCTAGAATTTCATCTGTATGGATACTTTACGAAAAGCTGAAAGAGTCAAATTGGAGATTGTCAAGGGTTCAGAAGAGTGTCTAGACTTCAATGGGGTCCATCAATTAGAGGCAGTGCTTTAGGTAGGTACCAATGCTGTTAAAAGACCTCGGAGTTAACATACCGGAACTACCCCGACAATTTTTACAACGTTGCTTCGCCAGTCCTCAGAAGGAATACACGTAGTTAGCATAAATAACTTTCTTTATATAAATTTTATGATATTATTGGCTTCGCTAAATATGATAACGCAGTTAGGACCTGGTGCTTTTTGATTTTTATAAACTTGATGCATAACGTGTGAAACAGGTGGTGTTGGTGGCTTGGTGGGTGGTTTAGGTAAGAGGTTAAGTTTGAATAATATTACTCGGAGGAAAAGACGGCGGAAAGTTGAACACTTTTTATGCGTGTATAGGTAATTACATAATATCTTAAAATACCTTACTCATTTGTCGGGGTTCCCTTATGAATTCCAGTTTTTAACTTCTTACTAAGCTTAGCTAGGTAGGTATATAAGAATTTATCCATTGGTTCTTTCGTAATTCCAATATGTGTCTTAGGTAGCTTCCAGATTCATTAAGATAGGGTTGTCCCTTCAACTCAACTCTGTCGATCCATCGTATTTTGTATACTTCCTCCGTGAATTCCGACTTGTGCCAATGATTAAGAAGTAGAAGGTGCCAAGAGATGCACTTGCCTTTGAGGCTCTTCATTATGAAAATAAGTTATGACGGCACCTGCATCTACCCCGCCTACTCATAAAACAAAGTCCGGGAAAACCTGCGGTGTAAAAAGAAAATAAATAAAAAATCCAGAAGATTACGATATCTGGCAAGTCAGGATTCCAGTATTACGATGGGGCTAGACGAGCTGACGACATCTCACCTCCAATAGCAAGTCGGCCTCAGTCGGCATGGTAGCCGGTCAGCATGTTATGTGATGATACCCTGGGCAACCTTCCCTATCAGGTTTTCGTTTGCGTTCCTTTTTACCGTATTTGGCGAGTAGTTAAAATGATTTGGTGAGATTCGGGCACGCAATGCTTATCTTAATGACATCCTTGACTCACCATCGGCTTGATGTTGTTCTCTTCACTTGGCTATTGAATTAGTTCCCGAGAATCTTGGGTTCTCTTGTCACCTTCGAAATAGACAATCGCCAACTTTAGCTTCTTGCTCACTGTTAGTTAGTATTGGCGTTGGCATTGGCATTGGCATTGGCATTGGCATTGGCATATCTTTGTCTCATCCGAAGACATGCAGTTTCGTTGGTCATCCATCGCCCTTCTGGCTGCCCTTTCATGGGATGTCGAAGGGATGCAAATAAAACGTGACGTGCCTCGAGACCAGCTTCAGTATGATGTCAACTATTTCGACCAAAAGATCAATCACTTTCGCGATGATCAAAAGTTGGCCAAGTCCAACCTAGGGAATGGAACCTTCAAACAGCGATACTATTTCGACAATACCTACTATAAGCCAGGTCAATCCTCATCCGATCCTCTACGTTTGATATACCAATGCTAACCTATCCACAGGTGGACCGGTGTATCTTTACATCTCAGGAGAGACCAGCGGACCCAGCAGGTTCTCTAACTTACAGAATGGGATTATTCAAATATTGATGGAAGCGACCAATGGTCTAGGTATGATACCTGACACAGACAAACGAGAAATGAAAAACGAGAGAGACGAAAGAAGTAGGTGATGAGAGAACTAGGACTAATAGAATTGAAGGTGTTATTCTTGAGAACCGCTACTATGGAGAATCCTACCCTTTCAGCACCAGCACCACAGACGAATTGCTCTTTCTCTCCACGAACCAAACCATAGCTGACAATGCTTATTTCGCCGAGCATGCTGTGTTCCCCGGAATAAACGGGAGCCTTACCGCACCTGACACTCCATGGATCCTCTACGGGGGTAGTTTGGCAGGGGCCCAGACTGCTCTATCAATTAAAGTGCACGGAGACGTCCTCTATGGTGGCATTGCTGCCTCAGCCCCTATCAAAGTGTCGGTTGGCTACCCTGAATGGTATAACCCAATCCAAAAATATGCTCCCCAGGATTGCGTTACCCGGATCAACAAGATCGTTGACAATTTCGATCTGCTTGTTTCTAAGAATCAGACCAAAGCAATCGACGAATTCAAGGCTCTCTTCGGGCTTGAATCTCTCACTGACCACAGAGACTTTGCAGCCGCCATTGCCGTGAGTTCCGTTGACAATGCTTTCATTCGAACCACGTCTCCCACGAGACCCCTGATCAACGACTGACTCGATTAATAGGACCCTATTGGGAATCCCGGATTTTACCACTCAAATACGTGGCAAGAGCTGAATTGGAATTCGACCTACGGCTCTAGAGACTTCTTCTACTTCTGTGGGAACGTTTCTGATATCGATGCCCCTGAGGATATCACTCAAGTAGACTATGCACTGGCAAACTATACCAACGGCGAACCCTGGGTGTAAGATCACTGGCCCTTCTCAACCTGCTTTGTAACACATCATGAGGTTCAGGGGCTCATGTCGTGTCCCCTGGTCACCTCACTCTTTCAGGTCGAGCTGTTGGCTAACGTCGTTATTTATAGTGGCCTTGGTGGCTATGCCAATTACGTGAAGACTTACACACTACCTCTGTGTCCTACGGGAGACTACAATAGCAGTGATTGCTGGGTAAGTAAATTTGCCCCTTACATTTCCCAGGTCTATCATTCCATTTGTCCACGCTAGAAGTCGTACTACAGATGATGGACTTCAAATCTGTTAGCTCTTGGAACTTTCTAAAGCTTACTAGCATAATGGCTGATTTATTCACTGTAGGGAACCCAAAACGCATCGGCCTGGGCTAGCATAGAGAATACTTCTACACGATCGTATCTCTACACGAGTTGCGTAGAACAGGTATGAGTAACTCGATGCCAATCAGTGATTGTTCGAAAGCTTACATTAGAATATCTAAGGGTGCGTATATTGATGCGCCAAAAGAGGGCCCAGCTCTGTTGTCTCGTGTTGTGGATACCAGTTACGAGCAACAGTGGTGTACCTGGGCATTTGCTCCTGGAAAATACAACTCGATTCCGTCTACTCCCGATATAGACGCATACAACGACTTCGGCGCGTTCAATCTCAGTGCCGATAGACTTGCATTCATTGATGGAGATCAGGCGAGTGCCCCTATTACCAAGATGGTTTACCCTAGAATACATGCTGACGATTTCCTCAGGACGTATGGCTTGATCTATGCTACCACTCTAACTTAGCACCTGCACGACCGGTATCTTCTGATCTACATCCCGAGTATTTGATCACTGGGTCGGGACACCACTGGGACTCATACGGCATCCTAGATGTGGAAGCCGAGCCTCAGTTCATACGGGAGGCCCACTTATGGGAGACAAAGACCGTGAAGAAGTGGCTGAAGAGCTTTGGTGACTGGAAGAAGTCGAAGAAGCTGTAAGCCATAAAACGCGTATGATCATGACCAACGAGTGTGCCGAGGGCTAGATAACCCTACAGACGTAATTCTACAACTGGAAGGGGAAGATGGCCACGACACAATGTCGCACTCAATGCGTATTAATAATATATAATAGGAAGAATAACCTATAGAAAGGAGTAGGGTTACGCATACCTACATACTGTTGGTCTCGAGTCCCATTTCGTGCTAAGTGATATTAAGTGAGTCAGTACACGGGAAGAAGCCAGGGCGCTTGAGTTTAAGAATAAGAAGAGTTGATACACTCCAATATTAGCATGGCAGAATGAAAAGAGTACAACTACTACTTAGTGAGTACATCATCGTCAGGTTTGAAGTCAAATTCTCTTCACCACCATCCCGTGATAGAAACCAAGACTACATCACCAAGAAAATACCACATTAAAGGGGCGTAAGCTCTATTGAAACTCCCGCTTTGGAGCTCACTTTCATAGGTACTTCTCAGTTGAAGGGCTTACCATACATCAGCATGAATACGTTTTTTCTCTCAGACAATAGCCACCAGGGCTTTTCTTTTTTATTATTACATAAAGGTCAAATAGAGTACAAAATACTAGGTGTTGTGCTTGATTGGATGTAGGTAGGTAGATATCGATGTGGAGTCAATGATTGGTCGAATTCAATTTTGTGGAGCATGCAAAGTTTTGCAAAGAATATAAATTTCGGAAGGGGCGACTTTAACCATCAACGGGTGCATGGCCTAATGGTAAGGCGTCAGATTTCGGTTAACCTACGACCTCCTCTGAAGATTGCAGGTTCGATCCCTGCTGTGCTCGGTTATACTTTTGTATCGTTCCTTCTCAATTGCGGTTTTCATCTTTATTTTTTTTTTGTTTGTCTAACTAATAAACCTTGCAACAAAACTCTCCTAACTTTACAGATGTACCCACCTAAATTATACTAGGTAAATGGACACTATTTACGAATTCTGATTGTAAAACCTGCCTGCCATTCTAATATCAACTCCTAACATCTAAGGTAGGAATAAGTGATACAGGCTCAACTCCCCTCTTTGTTAAATTAACATTTGCCATTTAACATCGCGAGTACCTTCCCTTTGTCGCTCCCGCAAATGGGCCCCGCTTTGTGTTATCTATCAGTGCACCTGTGCCTATCTGGGCACCTATGACGACCGAGATCGGCCCACTAAATTCTCGATTTTATGGTACTTTTCGCGGTTAGTCATCATGCCTGGCGGCTACAAAGAGAAATACTATCCGGTCACAGACATTTCTAAGGTACCTAAGCAGTCAAGGTAGCTCATCGCTGGGATCGAATTACGACCGCGGATGAAAAGAAGGCACTGCGAGTCTTGCAATTACCTATCTAGGTACCTTAGATTGTTGGTTGTTGGTGTGCTTCTGCCATCTGCCAATATTCCCGCGAGGTAGTCCATTATACATGGCCTGGACTTTGTAGCACCAGCTTTCCATTCTTTCCCAACCTTCGCCGGTTGGTTGTGTAGTTTTGAGCGACGAGTTGAACAATCCATAATCATAGCCATACCTCAATCATGTCTGCGTCCTTACCGGGCAATCGAGAGCCCCCCGAGTCGCAATATGACTTGAGCACGTACTGGGGCCGAGTCAAGCAGACGGCTACAATTACGGACCCGAGGTATGAAGAGAATCGCCAATTTCCCATTCCTCCTCCAGTGGCTTTGCCAGTCTTATGATACTTGAGAAAGCTCTTCTGATATTGGTTGCTTAACGGTAGAACCCTCTTCGCGGGACAGCATGGCCTTGAACAAGCTAAGAAACTGCTGGTGGCTTACAAGCAAGGCGAGATCAAGGACATGACACCAGAGCTATGGAAGGCCAAGAAGATTGTTGACTCTACATTACATCCCGGTATGATAAAACGAGGGCCTTTTCCTGTATCGCGACTTGGAGCCGTGGAGCTGATGGAGTGAGCCAGATACCGGGGAGCCGGTCTTTTTACCATTCCGCATGTCCTGCTTCTGCCTGTCGAACCTGGTCGTCACGGTGGGAATGCTCACGCCAGGATTACAGGTAACATAATCCCTTTTTGCTTTGTAGCTAGGATGATTTCGAGGTTGAAGGGAAAAGCTCACATAAGTCGCGAAACAACAGACTACCGGAACCGTGCTCTGGCAGATAACCAACCAATCCCTCAACGTGGCCATCAACTACGCGAACGCGAACAAATCGACGCCGCTGTCGTACTCGAAGATCGCGCAGTCCTACTTCCTCGCCGTGGGCGCCTCCTGCTCCGTGGCCCTGGGCCTGAATGCCGTGGTCCCGCGCCTGAGGCGGCTATCGCCGTCGACGAAGCTGGTGCTGGGGCGGCTGGTGCCCTTCGCGGCGGTGGCGTCGGCCGGCGTGCTGAACGTGTTCCTCATGCGCGGGGAGGAGATGCGCGCGGGCATCGACGTGTTCCCCGTGCTGTCGGACTCCGACAAGGCGCGGCTGGCCGCCGAGGGCAAGGCCGAGAGCGACGTCCCGAGCCTGGGCAAGAGCCGGAAGGCGGCCACGCTGGCCGTCGGCGAGACGGCCCTCAGCCGCGTCTTCAACTGCACCCCCATCATGGTCGTCCCGCCCCTGCTGCTCGTGCGCCTGCAGCGGACCGAGTGGCTAAGGCGCAACCCCCGCCTCACCATGCCCATCAACGTCGGCCTTATCCTCGGCATGAGCTACATCGCGCTGCCGTTCGCGCTGGCGGCGTTCCCGCAGAGGCAGAGGATCGCAGCGGATAGCCTGGAGGCCGAGTTCCACGGCCGCGGGGGCGAGGGCGGCTTGGTCGCGTTCAATCGTGGGATCTAAGGGTGTGTGTGCCTATATGGATGCATCGTTTGGTGGGCGTTGGCGGATAGAGTTCGCAATAGGACTGGGTAGGTAACGCTAGGCGCTTTTTATAGGTGGTATTAAGGGAAAATAAAATCACTTTATACTTATGTTTTTTCACATGGTTTCGATAGTCTGGCCTAAGGGAATAGATGGTGTTCTTATGAAGATACTAATAAATAAGCGTCGCTATATTGTTTGTATGACATACCGGGCGAAGCAAGTTCTAGACACGCGAAGTCTGTTTCATCATGCAGATACAAAATCAGATACAAAATAAAGGAATATTGAACTCAAATATAGCACTTGCCTATTTGAAATATGGATGGGACTGAGATGAGGTCTAGTTTCGAGTCTTGGCTTTGATTGTCTAACTGTTTTATCGAACACTTCTGCCTCACGCGTGTCTGGGGTACATGTCTGCCGTGACGATCCGGGAATACTTGCTCGGGTGTCGGGTTCAGAAGGAGATACGTGCATCCTCGAATATGGAAGAGGGCTGGAGGGGAATCTTAAAGAGGGGCAGCAACTGGAGCAGAATAACGTCAAAATAGGTAGATGGCCCATGTGGTAACAGTACTGGGTCGCACTGTACTTGAGGTATCCCCTGATTATCTAATCGATCCCCCTTACTGCGTATAATTTACTTCAATAAGAGATCCAGGGGATAGTTAACAGCACAGTGCTATTACCACATGGGCCATCTATCTTGACGTTATTCTGCTGGAGGTTGTTGATTCTCAACATACTGCCTAATATGCTCGCCTGCTTGCCTGTCTGTGTCCATTGCGCTCTTTCGAAAAGAGTACTGCTACCACAGGTCCGTTGCATATTGAAGTTTCTTTTTACAATATCAATTCATATTCTCCCCATAGCTCGCATTCGGTTTGGCGGGTTGGGGCGGGACGTAATCATAGTTCGTCCGATCTTGACAAATGAGGAAAAGATAAAGGACCGGAAACTATAAGGACAGGGGTTATTGGGTTTTGTTCTAAGCAATTAATATCTTACAGACTTGAGCAGTTTGAGTTCGAGAAACAAAAGAACGCAGTCTTTGCTGGAGCCTTTTATGAAGGATTGATCGACGAAGGCTGACGGGCGGCGCTGCTAGTTGGCATATCCATAGATAGGTAGGTACACCTACATAACTATGCTGCTATGGTAATTACTGTATGGAGGCATATAACTGTAGGTGACTAATGATCAGTCTTCCTTAAGGACACTGAGGGTTTTTATCAGGCAATCCTAAATTCTAGCGTGCGTTCGGCTTGCCCTGCGGCAGTGCGGTCGACGAAATCCACTCCACTGCAACTTACACACGAGAGAAGTTGGTAAATTTAGGTGCATATTATAAGCCGATTTATCCAAGCGGAGCTGCTGAAAACTGTGGGAATATGCGCAGCGTTACGACGTACCTACATACATACATATGTACATACATAAGAACCCCCCTAAAATACATGAGGTTCGATGTCATATACCGCAATGTTGGTCCCGGGGAAACATTGACACAGCAGATGGGAAAAGTCTTAAGCCGAAAACTACTTAGAACCTCTTGCCCGCGAATAGTGAGTGTAGGACGACGCAATAGCGATTTAAACCGAGCTGCGGAATTTCTGGCTTTGCGAGTCATGTTGCCTTTAAGTACTTCTTGATATTTGCCACTCTTACGAGCCTATCACCTTTGCTGCTTGGCAGGTTAATAATTTGAAGATTAACGGGTCATAAGCCGTAATCCATTTGACAATTTGAAACTGAAAATGAGGCCAAACATCAGACTTATTTGCCCTAGAATAGTTCGAAGGTTGGGTATCATCCCAAGGGGCAGATGGATTCTCGTTGTAAAATATAAGACGGTTTGGACAGCGTAAGCTACTTAATAAGTTAGTCCTTGTCAGCTGGATGTTGGTCCGTTGTTCCGACTCCTTTAATTGTGGTATAATGATCGGGAAAAGCGACAGATATGGAAATCTACTTCGTTGGATAGATACCTGCGGTGCGAGTCGAAAACTAAGAGCCAAATATGGCTTATATAGGTGCAGGTGTTTTTGAAAACCCCCTTTTTAAAGACACAAAGATAGTCATTACCTGGCAGCCTGGTATGAGCCAGAACCAGAAATCATACTACCTACAAAGTTGTATGCTAGTCTGGCTGATAATATGGGTATCCTAGATACTTAAGGAACGGATTGTCGATACTATGAGTCGAAGACGTCCAAGATTTGCATCTACGGTTTAGACCGAATTTGTAAGAAACAGCAAGCCAGATGTATGATTGTCCTCGAAGATCACGGACTGCCACGCGGCACAAAACCGACTCGCTTACCTATTACGACGATGTCTCATCATCTTGGTAGTCAGCTGGAGGGGGGGAGTATGGGTCTGTTCCATACTAATCGCCCATACTAATCGATAAGGCTGCAAGTGAAAAGTCGTGATAATGGTGCATCGCGACACTTAGGTGGTTGTGTTGTACATACCTACCTAGTACTACCTAGGCAATGGTGAGGGGGAAAAAAACTAGTGCTGCAAGAGATGCATAGGCGACACTAGAAGGCAGACAGGCTTGGGCGAGCCGAACGTTTAGTACCAATAGTAGTGTGGCGATATTTGCCGTCTGCGCCTCGGGAGTGTGTTGACGATAGGGTTTGTCGCTGGCAAAAGGGTTAGGGGTCCCTGAATGGACCTTATGGAAATTGTACATAGTATGCTGATGTAGTATTCCTGAAGGGTCTAGTGACCGACCAATAAGCTACCTAAGTGCCATCCCTTCCCATGTGAGAGGGGCCTCTTCTTTTGATGTAAAGAGAAGAAATCGGAATCCCAGCAAATTTCTAGTACCTAATAAAGAGAGAGATGCCCGACGATAGAACTCAGAGTCAGTCAGTCAGCCTCTGGCTTGGAAAAAGCCATGAAAGTATATACCTCAGTAGCGGATGCCCCTTTATCTTATGAGACACTGGGCATCAACA